CTCGTATCCTTCCAGTAATTCCATTAAATGTCCTTTATTAATATTGTGGAGTATGTGTGCATCATTGTTTTCATTGAATTCGTGGTCATGATTATACATTAGATGTTTACCAAAGTTAGAATTGTCTCTAGTTTTATGTTCCTTTATTCGTGTTTTTAGTGCTCTACCTGTCTCACCTATGTATGTTGCGTTGCAAGTTGTGCATTCCAATTTATATACTCCATTTTTGTCGAGTGTATTGAACGATTGTTTATTATTTATCAAGGAATTAGTTAAAGTGTTGTTCGTTTTGAAAGTTATATTAAGATCATATTTTGTAAAAATTTTTTTTATTTTAGTAGTTAAATGTCCTGGGTATTGTATTGAAGAACAATATGTAGGTTTATTTCTTTGATTACAGGGTATCAATGATGTAGTGTTTTGCAGGTGGCACTTTTGTTTTTGCTTGTCAATCATTTTGTCAATTAAGTTTTCTGAGAAATTATTGCTTCTTGTTATCTGTTTGATAATGTTCAATTCCTTCTTTAAGCTTTCCGGTTTTAAATATGTATTAAAGGCTCTATGTAAGTATGTTCGAGTTGCTGCCATTTTATGAGTGTTTGAGTGAAATGAGTTATAGGGAATAATTGAGTCTGTTTGTGTGGGCTTTCTGTAAATGTTGTAATGTATGTCATTGTCTATTTTACATATTTCGACATCAAGAAAGTTTATTTTATTATTNTGGGAAACATCCCCGTCTCTTTAAATGTCTCGCGGTAAGATTTTACAAAGGGTTTGCGATGGTCATAAAAAATGAGATAACGCAATTACCTAGAATTTTAATTTTTTGATGGTATTTATTCTTTTAAGTTTCGTTTGGACATCACTTTGCTTTTGGCGATCGTGAGCGGTTGTTGATAGTGTTTTGCTATTTTTTTGCTGAGCGTTTTCTTCTTTATAATTGATTTTGATAGTCTTACGACTGCATTATTTTTATATTAAGATAGTATTACTAACCAAGTGAATTTGTCGGTAAGATTGAATAATTTTGAATATTATAATTATATAGTAAGCTTAATTCCGATTTTATCATCTACCAATTATAATTATTTTGACAATGTAAATAGACAATAGTTTAACTTTTAATAAAATAATTTTGTGCTTTTGATCTGCCCATCAATTTTGTTTTTAGAAGGCAATAAAATCTGTGTGAATTTGAAGTAAAATTTGCCCGATTTTTAATGAAACTTGAGTGTATTTTAAGGAGCTCTATAATAATCATTTTGATTTGCCAAGAATAATAGAATACATTAATCAAAAGGGTTACTTGAATTATTTTTGAAAACATGAAATTCTTTGTGGTTCTATTTTTCGCTTTGTTGGTAGAGATGGACAGTAAACAGATGGATAAGGCGAGGCGCTTTGAATGGCGAGAGGGGTTTAAAGAGCACACGAGTAGTACCAAGAAAAACAACTGCCGATGAAAACTTGCCCATCAAGAGTTATCCGGCAGGAATTAATAGTCGACTGCTCCCTTCAAACCATTCGAAACCGTTTAAACGAGAACGGTAATACATAGAAAATAGCAGAATGACTAAACAATTTTAATAATTTTATAGGTTTGCGGGCTAGAATACCGGCAGAAAAAATTCAGCTGTCACCCCAGAATGCCCAGCACAGATTAAGATTTTGTGAAGAAAATATAAACCGGGATTGGCGAAGTGTCATATTTTCGGATGAAAAGAGACAATAACAGCGTAGAACGATTAAAATGGCCTCCACGCTCGCCCGATTTAAATCCCATTGAAGAGGTGTGGGTACGCGGGTGGGAATTTGACGAACGATTTCGGGACCGAGCTATTTTAGAAGAATACGTTCGTGAATACTTCGTGGCGGGGATTTATGTCAGCGATTGGTCGGCTCAATGACATCCCGATTAGAAGAATGTCAAAATAATAACGGGTTATACACCCATTATTAAATTTTGACATAACAAATTTTATTCATTATTAAGTAGGTATAATTTTTGTTATTAAACTGTTCTTAATATTTGATGAAATCTTTTTAATTTTTTCAATGCTGACCGACGAAACCAAGTGAGAAACAATAAGCGCATACCTGGCTGTGGTCCTCAAGACGAAAAAGATAAAACTCTTCATCCCGCGGGATGAAGAGTCCCTTCCAAAGCCGGTAAGTTGAGACAACCTTAATAAAATTAATATTAACCATCAATATTTTTTTTCTTGCAATTGAATCCTGGATATAACGACTTCCGCAGAAATCCGGGTGGTCCGGGAGAAGAGAGGGGGGGTTTTTAGTGGGTAGCAGGGGCTAATTAATTGTAGTCCCACACTCCCGGCCGAAATACGATTTTTCCGACCCACGAACTATAGGCGCCATCAGTAGGCCGGGGTGCNAATTAAATTTCGAAAGTCTAAGAAATCTGAGTGTTTTAATTGGTTGACAATGTAAGGCTCGGGGTTTGTCCTGGCATTCCTTAATATGGTTGGCCATTCAGAGGCAGATTGAACAATCTTGTTTTTTAAACTTTTTTCAATTACAGCGTGCATCGAATCAACTGGCATGTACGTATGCCCAACAATAAGATAAGTAATACTAATCTCACTAATATTCTTTCAACCATCTAAAAAATATCGAAGCATGCTAAAGAGGTTTTTATTTTTGTTTTGTCCCGTACAATTATCACAGAATAACGAAATTTTTTTGTACTTTTCGGTTTCGTCAACACTTGTCAAATAAAGTAACAAATTCGAGCAAATTTCATTAATCCGCGTTTGCCATCTTTCTCACCCCATAGGTAACAATAACCTTTTCTTGAAAAGGTTTCATAAATAGTAAAATTGTACACAGCGTACTTCCTAGAAAAACCAATTGTCATGCTGTCTCCATGGGGCGTCGACAAGACTTTTTGAAGATCAAAACTACAAACCAAAGTGGACTCGTTCTGTTCACTGGCCAGCTGTTGTTCCTCTAAGAATATATTTTTTACTGCTTCTTTTTCTGCTATATGCTGACTGTACTTTTCTTTTTCTTCGTTAGTTTTAAAATCATCAGGCAAATTTTTGTATCTTTCGCATTTTTGGCATTTATCTTTTTTGGGTACATGGATCCCAATGTTGAAATATTATTTTAATAATTGCATAAATTTGGTTTTCTTAAGAATAACTGACTTCTTGTCTTCACTTTCAAGAGCCTTCCCATACATTCTATAAACGCTATTAAAACTTTTGACGTCGGCAGGTAAATATTTTTTTGAAGTCGAACTTCTGCAGTAATGTGACGGCACAAGTGGTAAAGAATTTATGAATTCCTTAAATTTTTCTATTTGCTCATCTGCAACTTTATTATAGGACCTATGACGACCTCTTTGATCTGGGGTCGAAAATTTACTTTCTTCCTTATTGGCCAAAACAGTTCTTAACAGCCTAGCGGTTATTGCCATGGTATTAATTAAAAATTGTTTACACACTTTCTTTCTAATGCCGTTGTTCTTTAAAAAGTATTCATTTGTAAAAATGCGGTGCTTTAGATTTTTTGATTGACGCCTACGTTTTACCTCGCCGACAGTGACACATTCACTTAAGTAAGATTTTTGCTTGTTACCATCCTTTAAACCAAAAAAAAATCAAATATTCGTTGGCGATCTTCATCTGAAAATGAATTGCAGTTATTGAGACATTTCTTCTGAAGACATGGATTAGGCTTAATTTTCTTTGCAGCAATAACTTCTCCGCGATAATTAATGTATTCTTTCCCAGAGTTTTTCAATAATCTTCGTCTTTTCTTCCTACTGCCATTATCACCTGTTCCTTCTTCTTTATCATCATCTTCTCGTACACCGTTTTCTTTTTCGCTTTCATTTTCATTGCACAAGATTCTTTTTCGTTTGTTATCGGAAGTCATCTCTTGCTCATCAGAATTATCACTTTCTGAATCAGTGGATTCTAATTCATAATCTCTGTCAACAGTATTATCGGCTGACAGTGCCTCAGGAACATCTTCATTATAATATTCATTGAATTCATTCATCAGTACTTTATCCTCATTATTTCGATTTGTAAATAGATTATTAGCTGACGTTAAGGCACATAATCTAGGATCATCAGAAAATGGTATTTCTTCTACTATAACGTTTTGACTTACTTCTGAGATCTCGGAGGTATCACAGTCGTTAATAGGAAACTCTATGTCATTGTGTGTAGTTGTATTAGAACTAGAGCAAATTACAGCCTCTGTATTATTATTCGCCTTACTAAGATTACAGTGAGGCTCTATATTATTTGTATCAATAACATTACGATCCGTTTTATTATTTTTAGAGACACACTGAACACTAGTTTGGGTTTTATTTGTCAATAACAGCATTATTTTATCTGTTCTAGTAGTCATCTGCAACAACAAAAATGGCATAAACGCCAAATTTCGATCGCCATTTTTAAGCTTTCTAAAAACACAATTTGTAACCATTTAAAATACAATAATACTTTGAGAGCACTAGCGCAAAGTGACAACATAAAAATTCAAGATACGCTGTTGATTAACAGGTTTTTTTGGCAAAAAAGTTCTCATAAGAATACCATAGAGCGATGGCGCTTGTGTCAACTACATTCCAAATAGTTCGTTTTTGACACAAACGCTTTGTAAGTTTTTCTAAAGAAAATTGACTGTGTTAATGGTGAAAATCACCACAAATTTAAAATTTTGCATTGGTAAAGTGGTGTCATGCAGCTTATCAATAGAAATTTAAAAAAAGTACTTACCTTAATTATGAAAACTGGGCCGAATGCTAAGCCGCATAACCACGTGTAACTGTTATGGCTGCTTGGTAGTTATGACGGTCACCGACTGACATTCAATTCTAATGAAACTTAAATGGCGTTTACGCAAACTTTTAACCAATTTTATAGCGAATGAAGTTTGTTTGCGGATATGCCGCTTTAACTGTTGCATACAGTTTTAAAAATGCTACTCAACGGTGCAGCTAACTAAAAAATGGCCGGTTTGGCGTTTATGTCGTTTTGGCTTGACAGCATCGATATGTCGTTTATCTTTACCGAAACATGCACACTTTCTTGTAGCAACACTAAAGTGACACTGTTCTTTCCATAATAAGTAATGAACTAGACTAAAACAAAACTGACATAACTGCCTTCTGACGGATAAATTGTGAGTTTGAAATGTTACGTTTTTCTGCACGTCGGGGGCACACCAGACCTATTTATTAGTGTATATATGTTATAAGTTAAGTTTAAATTTTTTAATACGTTATATTTGTTTTAACGATAAAGTTTTATTTATTTTTAAGTAAAATGTGTTAAAAATAATAAATATGTTAAAAAAACTTCTTGTTTAATCTCGATAACTTAATATTATTGAATTGCAGGTTATAAAATAATATACAATTATTACTTAATAAAAATAACAAAATATTATAAAAAATTATTAAAAAGGATTTATTGTCTAGTTCTTGACACATACTTCAATTGCCAACGAATTGCACCTTCATTATTGAAATACAGACACAATAAGTTTCGATTTTCCATGCATTTTCTTGAAGAATTGTTGCTCCCTAATCGTTGTACACCTTCTAGCGGAAATGATTCTGAATGCCATTGCCCTTCGATTATTTCCCCAGGTGAACAGTAATATCCTCCATTCCTATATTTGCGTAGATAATTGTAAAGAACAACAGTAGCTTGAACAATTTGCTCAACCATTTCAGTTGAAGCTACTATAGTTCCTCTTAATATGCGCCATCTCTGACATAAAATTCCAAAGGCATTCTCAACTGTTCTTCTTGCTCTAGAGAGCCTATAATTAAAGATATTTTTTTCAATGCCTAAATATCGGCCTGGATATGGGCGCATTATATTTTCCGCCAATGGAAATGCAGCATCCCCTATCACAAAATGTGGGAGTATGGTGTTACTACGTGGAAGTTTCTTCGGTGGCGGAATGGGAAGTGTTCCATTAAGAAGTGCTTTGCCAAAACAGCTCTCTCTTAGCACTGTGCTGTCATGATTTCTACCTGATGCACCAATGTCTATTGTGATAAAATTGTATTCAGCATCTACTGCTGCCATTAGAATGATGCTAAAACTATTTTTATAATTATAAAATTCACTTCCAGACTTGTTTGGTGCTTGAATATGAATATGTTTTCCGTCTATTGCACCAATGCAATTCGGATGTTGCCATCTTTGGGAAAAAGCTGTTTCAATTCTGTAAAAATCCTCTCTTTCGGGCGTTGGCATTACTTTTGGCTGTAAAATATGCCAGAGAGCAGCCGTTGTCTCCTTAACTACAACATGTACAGTAGCTTTTCCTACACGATAATTCCATGCCATCTCCTGCATTGAGCAGCCGTCAGCTAGATAACTACAAACTAAACAAAATAAATAAATGAAACATACAATTATAATATATTATAATATGTTAGGAGCACACATTTCAATAACGCATACTTACTGCAAAGTAATTATTATCAGACGGATAATTTTTTTTCGCATAACAATACTAGCTGCAGCTAGACATGCTGTTGTTGCAGCTACAACAATTTTTTTTCGATCCATGATAATACACAGCGAGGTAATAATACACGATGATAATACACGATAATAATACACGATGATAATACACAATGATAATACACAACAATACCACAGCACCAGTGGAACTTTTTCTGACACTTGTATACAGGCTGTATCTGAATTACTGCAACAAACTTCGAGGGGTGATTCTTTAGTGAATTTTAAGGATACTTTCATATATGAACCATGGGCGACTTCGGCCCCCCTGGGGAGCTACGCCCCTCCAAAAATGGCGGAAAATTTTGGTTTAATTTTTTTTTCTCAAAAACCATAAACGCTAGGAAAATGAAATTTGGGGAATATGTTTAACTCATAATAGGGCACGTTTTGACCCTATTTGTACTTTCATCCTACCCTTCTAAACTACTAAACGAAACCACCCCCTTTACATTTTTGCTAAAATTTTTTATATTCAGATGATAAATACATTAGAAAAATTTTACATAGCTAGATGAAAGTATCCTAAAACTTTTTTGTCTCTCTAAAATTTTCTCAAAAACGACTAATTTTTGAGAAAAAAAATAATAAAGCAAACACTGCCCGTTAAACAACGGG